CTTAAGTTGAAAATAATTTGACTTCTGGGATACCACTGTGACCGTTAATGACACCTCTGACACTGACCAATTAAAATCCAGAAGGGGAGGGACTTCTGACTCTGTGGACACCAATGGTGGATGTCAGGAGCAGAGAGTAACCACACGGGTTCTATTCAAGGTAGCTGCCACACTACAACACCATCACTCTCAACTGTAACTGAGGTTGAATGAAAGCAAAGACACCATAACAGTGTTAACATCACGACCACAGACAGGTCAGGTGAATATCATTCAGAAATGTGAGGAAACACTGATGAGTTAAAGCAGGAAACATGCGTGAGCGTGAGGATGTGAGCGACTTCGACAAGGACCAATGGGGTCACAGCATCAAAACTGCTTCACTCCTGTGAGGTATTCCCAGTCTGCTGGGGTCATAACCTCCCAAAAACCATTAAACTGCCGAATAAACTCAAGGGTTATAAAGGCTCATTAGTGACTGTACACGTGTGGTTTCATTCAACAGCAAAGCTACGAGCAGAGGGCGGCAGTAGCTCAGGAGGAAGGGCGGTCGTCCAATAACCACAAGGTTGGTGGCTCGATTCCCCCCTATTCCGTCTGTCCGTTGTGTCCTTGGGCAAGACACTTAACCCACCTTGTTCCCAGTGTGTGTCCTGCACTGGTGTGTGATTGTGAGTGTTGTGTGGCGGTGGTCGGAGAGGCTGTAGGCGCAAACTGGCAGCCATGTTTCCATCAGTCTGCCTCATGGCAGCTGTGACAACTAAAGTAGTTTACCACCACCGAGGTGTGACTGTGAGTGAATGAATGATGTATCCAATGTAAAGCGTTTGTGAGGGTTTGTATATTGTATTTGTATTTGTTTCTGCTTAATGTTCAATTTATGTGTTTTTTGTGGAATTTGAATCCCATTATGATGATTTCATTCAATTAATAAAAAAATAAACATATTTTTGTGAGTCTTTTAATAAGAGTTATTGTACTCTGGATTTTATAACATTTTCTGTATTTAAAAAAAGTTTATGTCTGCAGAGAAACACAGATTAGTGATTGGAAATAGTCTGTCTATTTGGTTTGTATTTAAAGCTGATCGGAAATGATTGCCAAACAAAACAACTAGCACACAAATATTAACATCAACTCTCAAAATATTTAATCTGACCACATGAACAACCTTTGAATATATCATCAGTTTTGATACAGTGAAGAGGTGGTGAAGAAGTCCAAAAGTCTGTAAAATATAAAGGATGTGATGAAGATGTGAAGTGGACTCAGACTGAAGAGTCGCGGCTGTAAATGACATCAGTGATTTCCTCCAAAGTGAAAATTCTGCCTCCAGCAGAGACACAAAGCATCCTGCCTGAAGTCTGCAGCAGCTATGAGATCATCCCCCTCTCCTCCTCCTCCTCCTCTTCTTCCTCCTCCCTCCACCTTTATTATCTAGTCCTAAAAAAAGAGCCCCCCCACCCCCTCCCCCATCATGTCTCTAAATATGCCCATTAACAGCGCTCAGGACACCGCACGCCGCCATTCAGCTCGACAGGAGGCTCACCGCTCTGAAGAGGAACAAATGATCACGTTCTGGTCGGAGGACGGGTTTTATTGTCTGCTGCTGAAATTATGTGACGGAGAACGAAAAACTGAGATTTCTACAGCGTTAAAAATCTGACGTTTTATAACTCATTATTAACCCAGTTTTATCCTGTACGAAGAGAGCTCTAGGAAGGGTATTTTGTCAGAAAAGAGTCTACAACATTAAAGAATTAAGAAATGTTTTAATAATATCAGCTAGTTTAATGTGCTCATACTCGCTAAGATAATGAACAGCAGCTCTGCAGCTCCACAGAACTTTCTACTGTTTTTACTCCTGGTTTTAATTTTGTGGATCACAGACACATTTAGAGACAAGTTTGTGATTAAAGCGAAATATTCATATTAAAATCGTTATAATCGATTTTCCTCTCTATCATGTCTCGCACCTCCAGGCCATCGCAGGCTCCTCCTTCCTGTAAGAGCGCTCTCCAATTCCCACACACACCAGTGTAAACAAACGTTTGCAAAAGAAGACGATAATTTCATGGTTAAATAGGACAAGAGCGAGTCAGTCGTGTTGAATTGGTACGACTTCACAGTTTCAGATGAAGAGTAAACCACTCCCTGCTGCAAAGTCTGTCTGAAGGCGGTATCAACCTGTCCACACGGAATCAAACGCTAAAGTTTTTTGTCGTATCGGCGTTTCATTCCACACAGAAACGACGTTTTGGGTGACTGTAAACTGTACTTTTTGAAAACGGGTCAGAGAGTGTATAAATCTGTAAACGACGACCATTTCATCTGCGTGTGTATGTCTATCTGCATCTCTGGAAACGATCATGTGACACACAGCGTAACTCGTTAGTGGCGTCAAAACAAACTTTATACACATGCTCTGTACTCTTCTTCTGTCTTTTGTGCATTTCCTGTGAAGCGTTACAGCGCCACTCACTGGCTTGGCATATGCACTACATCGTTTTTTAGTGGTTTTGTTTTGAGAGATGATAGAAAAACATTTTATTTTCAAAGTGAAGTTGGAGAAGTTGTCACTGAATAAATATTGAAATCAGAAAATCGAGTTTTCAAAGAAAAAAATCTGGATTTTAGTTTTGGCCAAAATCGTGCAGCCCTACTGTGTGGATAGATGTTCACAGGTGAGTGAGGGGAAGGGGTGCAGGTGTAGTTAATACCTGTAGCTCCGCTTCATTTCTCCCACTGGACTCCCACTGAAATATGAGAACGGCTTACAGAGTCTTTGGTGGTTTGGTGCGCCGGTGCACACATTCACAATCTGATCTATGTTCAGTATGTTGGTGTTTTGATAGTCGCCGTAACCGTCTTAAATCACACGCAGAATTAGTCAAACATGGAGGAGAAACACAGCAGTTTACCGATTCAATGACATTTAGAGGAACAGCATTTTAAGAGAGAGACATCACAACATATTAGATTATGTTCTCACATACGTCCTTGCCTTCTGAAAAAACACTTCGACTGTGTGTGAGTGTGTGTGTGTGTGTGTGTGTGTGTGTGTGTGTGTGTGAGTGTGAGTGGGGGGGGGGGTTTAAAAGGTCAGAGTGCTGTTTTTCCTTTCTGCTAAATGTCTCAATCAAATTTAATCTGGAGATGGTGCGGAGAGGCTGACATTTAAGGTCCGTGTAGAAACAGAAACAAACTAAACGACTGTGTGTGCGAGGAAGACGTTTACTGGAGACCGTGGAAGCCAATAAATAAAGGCGATGAGAAACGGCAGAAACACGAGGAAAACCATACAGAGAGCAGCGATGAATGTGATTACAGCCTGATACAGACTCCCAAACAAAGCCCAGTACATGGAGGGTGAATTCTCAGGTTGTTGTTTTTACTTCGCCAGTAAAAAAAAAAAAAAAAAAAAAAAAAAAAAAACAGCATCTCAATCCAAATCCTGCTCCAATTACAGCTCAGAGTGAGCGAATACGGGGAGGAAGCCAGATGGGATGCTGGCAGAGTAACACCCCCATCCCCCATGAAAACACCAGCAAAAACACAACATGCACACACAAACACACACAGCTCCATATTCACACACACTATCCCTGCACTGATTGGCTTTAACCCTCTAGACTCCAGAGAGCTCTGAGACATAAATATTTCGTGTAATCCTTCCGGTCGTATCACAACTGGAAAAATAAAGTCAGATCTCTGAAATTCACAAACTTCAAGTTCTCTTAAATGACTGAACGAACACAAACAAGACTCACAACAGTTGTGGATCATTTTTCTGCATTTTTGGTGGAGTTTACAGAAGTGTCTTGTATAAAAAGATCCTGAGCTGTTATATATGTAAAAAGCCTGGAAGTGGAGCGGGTTCAAGTCATTATAAATCATCAGAACCTACAGAAAGATTTTTATGTCAAGAGCACGGTACAAAACGAGACTCTGGAGCTCGTTTTCTTCTCATAGCTGGATTGTTTCTTGTGCTCCAGGACTGTATTTTTTAAACAAATACAATAAACTGTTTTAAAGGGAGAATTGACATATTGACGTATCAAATCAAGGCTGAGCTCTGTTTCTCCTTCCATATAAACTTCGACTTTCTATGTTAATTTCTGTTTTTAGACCTCATTTTAGAATCAAAAAATACCAGATTAATTGAGGATTCTCTCTGAGGTGCAAGAACATCCAAGAAGAGAGAAAGTCTCCATTAAACTGAGAGACAGCTAATGGCGCTTGTATTGGGTACAGCTCCACAACATTCGTCTTAACCTACTTTCCAGCAATAATCTACATAAATACTCCCCAATCTCTGAGGAGAGGGACTGCAGAAGACAAATCACAGCCCTGAGGCTAGCGTAGAGCCTGTGTGTGTGTGTGTGTGTGTGTGTGTGTGTGTGTGTGTGTGTGTGTGTGTGTGTGTGTGTGTGTGTGTGTGTGTGTGTGTGTGTTTGTATGCTGCTGTGAGACTCCTGGGATCAGTGCAGATCAAAGCGGTCCTGGCAGAGGGGCTTGTTTCTCTGGGTTGTTAAATGTTGATGATTCTCCAGGTCGTCTTTTAGACTCCGAGTGTGCTGACACAAATCACTCCGGCCGTCTCAAATTAGCAGCCGTTCCCTGAGGCGCCTTTGTCTCAAAAAGCTGAAGGTTAGATAAGGAGTAAATGTGTCCCAGTGCAGCAGAGACTCGCTGCAGACTGAGCTGCTTCAGCACCACAGACAGTTCCTCATCCTCTGTGTACTACTATACAACCTGAGCCACTGGTTTAACTATTACTACGACTACTACTACTTTTCCTCAACAGTGATGCACTAACGCCAGATGTAGTCTCAGCTTCAGCACCTCAGACAGCTCCTCACACAGATATACAACAGAACTGTTATTGTACCTTTAAAGTACGTCTCTGTGTACTTCCATAAGAATAAACTGCACACTCTGAGCTACTTCAGTACTGCCAACACTACTACACACTGTCACTGTGTGTAAGTAGCTCAACTACTGCTATTTACTGTGGCCCTAAGGTGCAGAACACAACAGCAAATCAGAAAACACAACACAAAAAAGAAAACACAACGGTATTAACTTTTGTGTTTTCTCTTTTAGTGTTGTGTTTTCTGATTTGCCGTTGTGTTCTGCACCTTAGGGCCACCATAGCTGTTTATTCTATGACTATGAACTTTAGGCCACAGTCTACACAGGTTCAGGCAGTTCCTTCTGCAGGCACACAAACCACTTGACACAGATGTGGTTTATCCAATTCATTTCCAGTAAAGGAAGAAAAGAGCAGCAGCAAATATTAAACATGTCCTCAATCCTGACCGCTGTGAGCCTGAGACAGGATGAGGAGACACGGCTGTGACTGCTGGGACATCATCAACCTCACTGGTGTCTACAGAGTTGCTGATACTGCTGGTTTCTTAATCTGTGCACAACTCTCTACTCTTAGATACTCTCATATTTAGACTGACAGGAGTCTCTGCATGTTCAGCACCATGGACAGATACCCCGCCCCTCCTCCCCTAAAAGACCAACCTTAAGGTCCACACTTCAAGACGTAGGAATGTTGTACGGTGTGACTGTGGTATTGTAATATTGTGTGACTGTGCACAACTTCTGCTCTTACAAATACTACCACATACTGCGGTCAGTCGAAGCAGACTCAGCGTATTCTGAGCTGGTTCAGCAGGTCTGAGAGTTCCAGTCCTCAGAGGGTCGGACTTACAACAGTCAGAGAGTGGAGCTGCAGTCTCTCCTCAGATGAACCTCCTCCATCCACATCACCTGACGTCTCAGGTAAAACACTTACATCACCCATTAGAGATGTAAAACTATTAACACACATCATGTTTCACCTGTCAGAGAAACTCCTGATCCCTCAGCCGATAAGGATTCACAGCATTATGGAGTTTTATTGACTCCGTCATATCAGGTTCTCCATGACAGAGCAGGTTTATGTTAAGACTCCATCGTTGAATTAAATCAGAGTTTCTTCACTTTAACCACCAGTGACACACAAACAACAGATTATCACGAGACTTTACATTTCCTTCTAAACATGTTGAACTGTTTTACAAATTTGTTCACCACAGAGTAACTACATATATCTTATACTGAATCAAAGGAAGTCATAAAATTGTTTATAAATTGTTCAAGGAGCTCAAAGTCTGTTGTTATGAAGTTTAAGTCAGCATTTAGTATTATTATTATCTTAAATTATATATTTTATAATTTTTTTTTCAGTGATTGTCAATAAAAATACAAATGAAAATGTTAGTATATAAACATCTACTGTATATGAACTTGAAAAATAACAAATAAATTACATGCAAATCAAAATCTAATGCAAATAGTCGAATGCATATAGTTAGTTATTTACTTTGTAAGTTAGTAAGTAAGCTCGTAATTAAGTAAGTTAGTTAGTAACTTAGTTAGCTTGTTAGTTAGTAAGTAAGTAACTTAGTAAGTTAGTAAGTTTGCTTGTGAGTGAGTGAGTGAGTGAGTGAGTGAGTGAGTGAGTGAGTGAGTGAGTGAGTGAGTGAGTGAGTGAGTGAGTGAGTGAGTGAGTGAGTGAGTGAGTGAGTGAGTGAGTGAGTGAGTGAGTGAGTGAGTGAGTGAGTGAGTGAGTGAGTGAGTGAGTGTTTTTGTGTTAAAGGTCCCCTAGACAAACTTTGGAGGAGCCTGAAATTTCAAGGATGTTGTAGAAGCAGTTCAAAGACTAACAGTTATTCATGTTTATTAAGATCATGAGGAATTACATTTTTTTTAGAGATGATCTACTGTGGTACATCTATCGTATTTTGTGTTCATGAATACTGAAGAGAACCAGGAGAAAGTATGAAGTTAAATTTCCATGATAAGACACGGACACATGCTGGTTGTTTCAGATGTTCTCAGCCTTAATCAGTTCATCAGAAATGAATTATTTCTGCCTGGACAAGACGACCGATGAGGATTAGACAAACTGATGTGAATTACCACGGGCAGCCCGTCGGGCTAAATCAACCAGGTGTCACAGCAGGGCGCCAAAACGGTTATACTGAAAATCAGCCGTGTGTCCTTTTGGTCATGTTCTTATCTGTGTGAAACTCCATCAGGTGAGGTTTATCCGGCTCACCTGTCTGTGTGTCTCAGTGTGAGGTGTGTGATGCTGCCGAGTGGAGCTGTGAGTCTCTGTGGGCTGAGGCCATAACCTCAGCACGACTCTCTGCTGCAATCTAAGGCCTCCACGCCAACGCCAACGCCACCGCTCACAGACTGTCTGACTGTCTGAGAGGAGCCTGCTGACTGCAGCTTTCTGCCACATGGTCTGAATACACAACACACACACACACACACAGACATCACATGTTATGAAGCTTTGTCCAGATTCTTACAGGTCTTCTTTAAAAAGGTACAGCGAAGATTCATGTCAGAAGCTCCACTGAGGAGGAGGAGGAGTCATGAAGAAGGACATCCGTTTATTAATGATCAATCTGAACATCAACATTCAGCAGCAGTGATTTATTTGTGACGCAACAATCAGGACAAAGATCAGTATATTTAGTCCGCCTGTGTGTTTGTAGTGATGATGTGTTTTTTCATCAGCCTGTAGCAGCCATCATCAGTCCTCCTTCCACTGACACATCTAGGCTTCCACAGACTAATATGATGTTCATTTGTACAGAACTGGGACACAGCCCCATCCACTGTTAATCCCCTTTTTAGCTGCTGCACTAAAAGTGGAGTCTTTCATTCTCATCAATATGCGTAAAAATGAAAGAAGCCAAAGCTGAAGCCATTCTCGCGCTCTTCAGGGGGATGAAAATTGCCTTTGAGCCTCATAAATATGATATCCTTGTCTCTTCATCATATTTGTCGTGTTCTCCAGGATAAATCTCTCTGTATGTTTCAATATATATAACGTACTTTCACCACAGACACAAAGGGATCCCCCAAAGTGTGTGTGTGCGTGTGGGGTGACTGAAAAGTGGAGCAGGAGTTCATCCGTGGAGTGATTGGGGGGTGGAGAATGAGTCTGGGGGTTTAAGGGGTTTTGGAGCTGCTGCAGCTGTGTGTGGTGGAGAGCTGTGGTAGGGGGTTGGGGGTTAAGCCGTCATTGCTCCATATCCCACCACAACTGGAACGACGGGTGGAAGAGGAAGCGAATATGGGAGGATCAGGGGGCTCCAATCTTTTCCACACGTAGGTGGAAACCTAACCAAATCCCTGGGCAAACAAAAGACCCTCCACTCTTGCCTCTATATTTGCTCCCCAAGCCCCCCTCCCAACATATACAGTCGACGAATATGTCCCCCCTGAGATGAGGTGGGATGCCTCACTCAGTAATCCTGGCTCAGAGGCAGAGCAGCAGGAGGAATGAGTCTGGGATTGATCCGTCTGTCTGGAAGTGCCAGCTTTGTCAGGTATCACGCACACAAAAACAACTTTCACTTTAAACACAGACAGGTGAGGGTGGGCTTCACGTGCCGGAGGGGAAAAAACAGATCTGACTCCATGTTTCAATCTGGTTGTTTTTGGCTGATTTAGAGGTTCCTCAGACACTTTCAAGAAAACCGAATGACTATCAGTGTCATGTTTCAGATAAGTCACCAAACAGATTCTTAAACACGCGACAAGACCTCAGCTCACAACTTCAAGTTTGGTTAGATTCAGAAAAATGTTTTCACTTCCTGAAGTGATTCGTTCGTTCCTCAGTTCAGTTGAGCTGTCAGCAGTGCAGCTGCCGAGTAGAACACAGCATTTAACAAGGAGTGTATAAAACCCACAGTTTGAGAAAATGAGTGACTGTCCGATCCTATCACTGCAGCATCTCGTCTCCCGGTCCCAGATGCCGTGAGCTGAACTGAAACCTGAACCGTAGAGCTGTGTATCAATTCAGGAAGTTGGAGTCGCACGCTCCTCCCACCAAGGGCTGAATGATTCGGTGGTTTGGTGAATGAATCTTTCGAACAGATCTTTTAAGTGAACAGATTCTAGTGGTTCAGTACATCAAGAACTGCTGTGCCCATCACTAATATCAGCCCGACTGTAACTGCTGACTCGTTAATACAGACATCAGTGATTGGAGGAGCCAGTGTGGGTGAAAGGCATGAATCCTGAGAGCTCATCAAAGTTTAACAGAAAAGAAGAAAGGAGGCTCGTATCCTCAGAGAGTTTGGCTCTCAGCTTCACACCTGTGAACCAGACAAGGCTGACAATCCGAACCAAAAGAGGAGGTGGGTAAGACATGATTCAGACGCCCCATGAAACTGAAACTGAAGACCTGTGAAGGGACTGAGGTGCAGCTGTGGGTCTGTTCACAGACCGCCTGGATACTGAATCTGAGACTTTAGAGACGTGAGCTCACCATAACTCTGACCAACACTGCGGGGACTCAAAGATTTCTTCAGGACGTGTTCAAAAATAGAACTTTCTATTAGGAGCTGATTCATTCAGGCCACTTCAGGTACTTTGGTGACTGTGAGGCTGTCACTCAAAGCTCAGACTGCTTAGACCCGTGCACAGGTATAATGAGTCTGTACGCTGTCTGTTAACTCCACATGAACTGACAGCTCATCTCCAACACGACCAACTAATGACTGACGTCAAAACATTACATCAGCGTCCACCTTTGTCCCTGAGAGAACAGAGGAGGGAGAAAATAGATGAAAGTGCCGAAGCTAGATGAAAAATACAGCGGTGCTGGTGTTCCTGTTTGGCTCCCTTTAAACTCTCCGGGGGGGATGATCAAGGGGTGAGTGCTAGCTGGGAGCAACAAGGCCTCCTCCTCCTCCTCCACACACAGACTGCTGTAGTCCCCCTCCTGCTGAGAGAGCCAACAGCCCGCAGCCAAAATCCCACTGACACACACCTTCAGCCTGAGCATACAGACAGTCGAGAGAGAGTGTGTGAGTCAGACACTTCCACTGGATCAGCCGACGATCTATTCAAACTCACTCTTTGTGTCAGTTTGTAAGAGGAAGGAAGGATTCAATATTGGGTCTCTCTCTCTTTTTAGTGCTTCCACCTCTTTACCTGATCATTTCAGGTGAGGGGTCAAAGGTTACCCTCCCGGAACTGTTCTTGAAGAAATGAGGAAAGAGTCCAGGGCTGGAGTCAAACCCAGAGCCACTGAGGGGGTTTCAGTTAGAAAAGACATATTGAATATGAACCATCAG